GGGAGGCTGAGGCAGGAGGATCACATCTTTTCATAAAAGTGGACAGTAGGAATATCTTGGGCAGTGGAGCAGGTCTGGAAGGTTTTGTAGCAAAGGTTAACCCAGCTCAGTCATGCTGCCTGGAGAGTCAGGGCCTCATAAACTGGAATCAGAGGCAGGTACTTCAGTCCCAAAGATCTTGCGATTTCCCAGTGATACAAAATGCCTCTGACTCCTACATGGAAATGAGCAATAATGGAACCCACCCATTGCCTTTTAATGCTCATGAACATACATAGAAAACCTGAGTTAACCTTAAGAACTGGTGGGGAAAATGAAATATAAACCTAACATGACAAACCAGTAGGACTGGCAGCACGGGACTATATGCAACAACTTAATACACGCTAAGGCAGAACATCTTTTACAGGAGAAAGATCAAATCTCAGTCCCTGACTCACATCCTAAGTTCTGGGTCAAGACCTAGTGATGGAAGGTCAAGGTCAAGGGTCAACCTAAGGAGTTCACAACACCAAAGCATCAGTGGAAATGCCACAAAACAGACAGACACAGAGGAAAAAGCACAAGGGCTATTGCGGCCATCAGCACCTGCCTCCACTGCCTGGAGTATCCTTTTTCCTTACAGCAAAGGCTGCCCAAAGTCTCTCGGATTTTTACTTAATAACCTCATACTTTGGCAATAGTCAGACACCAGAATTAACTAGAGTAAATATCCTACTCCTGATTCCCACACATGGACCAGATCCTGGCTGTGCCGTGGCACACCACCTCATCTGCTGTGACAGCTGCCTGCCAGGCAGGGTCAGTCCTTTGGAGTACAAGTTTCAAGACAGATCAGGGCTCTTCTCAACAACTCCTCTCCATATCTCTGGTCTCCAAGTCCAATCAGCCTACAAATGTAGTTCAGGAAGAGCAGACCATCCAAACCGTTGTGAACGCTACTGGTTCAATGAGTAGCAAATAACGTCTACACCTCAAAGTATGAACTGCCAAAGTTCTATCACAATCCACATAGCCTGTGGTGAAAACTGCTGATACATAAAGAGCTGAGGTAGGAGACTTCAACTACTCACTACATAGCACAGGTGAAAGGTAACTATGAAGAAACACCTGTTGCCTCACTATCTTCCAGGGTGACCTGCAAATACTCCACTTATTTTTTCCTTGTGAGGACAGTGAGCATGACTAGACACAGCAGCAATCTCTGGGAAAAGCAGGAACAAGGGAGTCTTCAAAACAGGTTACAAGATGGGTACAATGTCTACCAAGCAGAACTCAGATTCCTGGATTTCACAACTGTCCTGACCAATGTTAGTCTCCTTGTTTCTAGAGTTTCAGGTCACACCGCTGTCACCAGTATGGGTCACAGTGGGATTCCTGTACCTCTGCTGACACTGGCATATAACTCCTCCAAAAACGGTTTCTTTCCGCCAACTGGGAAAACTGAAACGCCCTCCTCTCAATTCTAACTAATTTGCTTGGTTAACACATTGACTGCCACACTAGAAAACAATTTTTTCCCTTGGGGCCACAATGTTTTATTATGAAAACAGAATAAAAACTTCGAAAACAAAATGATCCTTTCTAATTTAATGAAAAATTTGTTATTTTTTATTGTTTTCTGCGTGTGTTATATGCAACTTGAAAATAGTTCACACGGCTCCTGAGGTGAAGAGACGTGAGTTACATATGCTTCACGAGGCCCCAGGATCAAAACTAGCATGAGTTAAATACAACTCACAGGGCAGTTAATGTGTTAAGAAGCCAGGAGGTACCAAGTGGATGACTGCTCTGTGCCAATTATCAAAGACAGCACATGGAGGCTTTGCACCACCAGGAGACAGCCTGGCTCCCAACAAGTATTAATGCCATCACCAAGCTAAGTAAGAAAGTGGGTAACAGAAATTTATGACTGGAATCAAGAGCACTAACAACCATGACAAATAAAATTTGGCAGAATCTGGATGAAATATTTTATGGAAAACAAAAAATATAATCCAAACAGATCATAAGGTTACTCATAAAGATGTTTTAGCCATACAATCTAAAATAGGTTGAGAACGAATACTGAGGTTCTTAAGTAAACACCTCCATTGTATGTAAACAGGGACTAACAAAGAAAGAAGTCATATATATGACTGACTTGGTTCTCTAATCATGGGCCTCTGAGGAAGACAGTGCCACAGCTTCCTAGTGCTGTCGTCTCTTGAGGGGACTTCAAAGAAGAGATCTTTGGGGCAAAAATAGTGAATTTCTTTTTCTTCCTTCCTAAAAGACCTTTTTCTAGAAGCAGAAGTTGTAACTGGATAAAAAGCTCCAAGTCCCTGACTCAGAATGCAGCAGGAAAGCCAGGTGAGTCGGAACTGAGCTTTGACTCAACTCCTGGAGATCAAGGGCTCATCACCTCAGGAATGGACAGGCACTCCATGGCTATCTGCAATGGACATGTGAAGTCATAAGCCACAGGCTCCCACCTTAGGCCTTTTTCTCACTTTCCTTCACTGAAAGCACATCTAGAAGACCCATCTACCAAACCTTGTTTAAGTAAAATGTGCAGTTTCCCATTTGATTTAGTCAGATGGATGTACTGGGCCAGCCATGGGACTGGGCTTCCTCCTGGCAGTGTCTGAACTCCTAGAAACCTAGAAGGGCAGGAGAGTGTGGCCATGACAGGTGCTCATGAAGCATTTCAGGTGGTGCCCAAGAGTACGGGCTTTGGAGCCACATAACCCAGCTCTGCTACTCAGCAGCCTCTCTGTAACTCAGGCTTATCTGTAAAATGAGTTAACAACACTACTTACTTCCCTGAGTTTATGTGAGGACTAAATGAGAAAACTCATTTATCACAGTCCCTGGCACATTGTTAGACAAAAAGGTAAATGTTGTTGACAAAATCAGAATTTTTGTTCAGCACATAA